TTTTTGCTGGAGTAGGAAATGATTTTCCTGTCACCACTCTCCCCAAGCTGGAAGAGCATGGCACCAACTCCGACTTCGCTTGCGTCGGTCTGTAGATTGAATGGCTTACCCGGAAGAGGAGGGCAGAGCCGTGTCGCGGACACCAAAGACTCCTTCAACTTCCGGAATGCATCTTGCTCAATTTCAAACCAACGTTATTCAGTCCCTTTGGCCAACAGACTCGTGAGTGGTGCTATGATCTCGGCGTAGTGTTGCACGAACTGACTGTACCAAACACAAACGCCTAACACCCGTAACACGTTTAATTCCTGAATCGCAGTCAGTTTTTCCGGTTCCCGGTCTATTCCTTCACCGACCACGACGTGACCTAGGAATTTGATCTGCGCCACCCCGAATGTACATTTTTTTGGTTGGCACGTCAGACCGTAAGACTGGAGTCGCTCTAAGACTCTCTGCAAGTGGTTTGGATGTTGATCGGGACTCTCCGAGTATACCACAATATCAGCCAAATAAACCATTACAAATTTACCAACTAACCCACGGAAGACTCCGCTTACCAAGCGACAGAATGTGGCGGGGGCGTTTTTAAGTCCAAAAGGCCTTACTCTGAACTGGAATAATCCTCTTTGGGTCTTAAACGCCGTGAGTGGACGTGTCTCTGGTGAGAGACTCACCTGCCAATATCCTGATTTCAAATCCATAGTCATCGGAAACCCCGGAAAAACTCTGATTTTTCGGTTTTCCCCGGTCAATCTGTTCCGTATGTTCACCCATCGGCTCTCAAAACTCACATTTTGAGTTTTGACCGGAAGATTTTGACTTTCGTCAGGTTAAATCTGATTTGCTCCGGATATGGCGCTGGTTGATGGTTGTTGGGAATTTCCATGGCATGAGCAACTTGTTTGCTCCACCCGTTAGGTCGACCTAATCTTTTCTTCTGCTAACTTCTGCTCCAAGCGATCCAAGCTTGCTGAGAGTAGCGATTGTTAATTGTTGCTTGTCGACCGTTATTTCCAACCCCTCCAGCCTATCTAACATCTGCTCCATGAACTGATTTATCAAACTCTTTTCAGAGTTGACCTCATCCTCCCTGGTCTGAGCCTCCGATGTTTTCCCTTCCGGTACCTGGGCTGACGTCTCGTCAGTTTCCCCAAACCATATTGATCTTGGATCCAAATTTTCCTTAGCCCTAATATACTCTTCTAATGCTAGGAGTTTATCGGCCTTGGACCCCCGGTCTCAATACCACGTTTCAATAATTCCCTGTTGTTATCGACAATATTTAACTCACTAATGCATTTAATAACCATTGAGGAGATTAAATTTCATTGCTATTATCTATCTAATTAAATTATGATGGATACGAAATTACGTAACTCGGGCTATCGCTAGTAGAGATTTGTACTTCCCAATGTATAAATAGCCTAAACCAAATTTAGCACTGTAGAAATTACGCTGAATTATGCAAATTTTGCTACAATTTACCACCTTAGATTGGACAAGCCCTTAATATTTTATTTATAATAAAAAATCAGAATAAAAAATATTAGAAACCGGTATGATCAGGACACCTATTGAAGGTTCTTTTAACCCGATATGTGCTAATTTACTTTAATTTACGTAAAATAATTTTTATTAAAATTAGCACTTATCTTACTCCTTTTCCGACTGAGTCTCTTGTAGGTGTAGGAACGATTGGAAAGAATACAGACAGAATAATGAGACACTTTAGTTTCGACAATAATTTTATTTGCACAGATCATAAACAATATATGTCACAATAATATATACACGTTGTTACGACGATGACGGTCCGGCAAAAGCTGCTGCTTTTCAATTCTAAGTTTATAAATGAACATTATTATAATCTCGATAATACACACCTACCTTGCTATCTATTAGTTATATATTATATTCAAATTGATATATTAATAAGTAATAATTAGTAATATATTAGAGTATACCTATATAAGAAAATAAGTATACCGAATACTCTACCCAAGTCTGCTAAATTAGCCACCAACGAGAAAAAAATCCCACTATTTATCCCTTGATCTTATTTTCACAACCACTATCTTACTTCTTACTCTTTTTTATTTGATTTTATTCTACTACAGACTTGAACAAATCAAACCATTCGGGAAAGTAGGCGTTGATTTTGGGAGACCATTCGACTTAAATGCTGCTCTGTTACGCCGACTGTGGGTCACTAAGGCGTACTTAAGCATTCCTAGTACTCACAACGACTGGTCTCCCTCTAGCATTGATGTTGGGTTACTGCTGACCTTGGTTGAGCGGTATGGTTTTCAAGATGGATGGCCGTGTCCTAACCGATAAGATTGGGTATGAGCGACTATCTGGTTGGTGACTCCTAGTACAAATGTTCTAATATAAAAAAAAAATTAATGGTACCTATTATAGATATAGGTTAAATACGTTATAAACTAAATGCTTTAGGTTTATGTAGTAATAGATACATTAAGTGAAAATATACACCTTGGAAATACTCGTCGAACAAGTATTCCGAAACAAAATCCATCAAATAATTATTTTAAAATAGATAACAAAAAGTGGGTAAGTGGATGTCACTCTGCTGTACAGTAGGCTACAAGTGAGTCACTGTAATTCAGCGTTTCCCAAACCATGGTGTTCGCGCTGCCGTCAACGATCTTCGCATGCCATTACCACTCATAGTAATTCCGCCGACCGAATCACACACACACACACACACACACACACACACACACACACAACACAAATTATTGTATTTATTATTTTTATGTCTATTGTGTCGTCCGTGAATTATTATGTAATAGTTAAATGTAGATAAACGAATTATGTAATGCGGCTCGATGTGTGGAAGATTTAACACGGCCGCCCATCCCACCAGTTCGCCACAAACGGTCAAGCGATACGCTGTATTTTTTATTTTACGTCCAAAAAGTTATGTCAATGCAGGAACCCGCAGCATTTTTGTATGGGGTAAGTCGCCGTTAATTTAATATTATTGTTTTTTTTTTTTTATATTTCCGTTTTATACTAGAATAAATTATAATTGTTACGTGTACGCTAATCGCCACTGATTGCATATTGTACTATTGTCAGTTCGCGCTGATCTCCGCGAGCCTTTATTATTCTCATTATTACTATAGTACAGGTACAGGACCAGCTGGCCAGACTGCGCTCCACAACCCTGTGAGTTTTAAAATTATTATTATTATTTATATTTACTGTCATTATTAATGTTAAAATAATTGGCTGAGCAAGCTCATACTTGTAATTATTTCCTATCATATTTGTTGAGCCAAAAGGGCTAAATTTGTTTACAATTATTTGTCGTGCCAGAAGGATACAATATTATTATTATGTTTAAAGAGTTTGCTAATCTATATATATAAAAATGGAGACAAAAAATTCGAAATTGCATCAGTTGAGAACGGCTGGGCCGATTTTGCTCAAATTTTTTTTAAATTATAGAGAATGTCGGGGAGCGAGTTTATAGCCTTAGAGTAAACTTTAGAGTAAACAAATATAATAGTTGGCACATTATTCATTTTATTTTGAAACATTATCGTTTTATGTTATCTATGAACTTTTTCAATCAAAAACGACTATTGTTTTTTGGAGAGAATTTTTATGCTTGAACCATGCCTCCTATGAGAAGAACAAACATTGGACGGCGTACACGTAATGCAAGAAACATTAATGAATTTAGACGTGCTCATAATACTCAGGCCAGCGCTGCACAAACGCCGCTCAAATTCGACAACATGTTAATATAAGAAGAAGTTCAGATGTAGCCTTGAATCGCGCTGCTTTCGAATACGATTCCGCATTCGCTTACAAAGATCTTTTGTGTGTTGATATCGGCTCATTATATATCGTATGCCAGCATTGCAAGGCATTGAAGTTTCGATTGGAAACCCCCGGCTTTTGCTGCTCTGGTGGCAAGGTTAAATTACCAGTTTTAGCTCAACCACCAGAGCCATTGTATTCGTTTGTCTATGGAAATACAATCCAATTAAAACATTTCCTGGCGAATACACAAAAATATAACGGAAGTTTTCAAATTACGTCATTTGGAGCAGAAGTTATTGAACAACCTTGCTACAACCCGAGTTATAAGGTAAAGGCGTTTGTAATAATAACACATTTTTTTTTTAATATTTAAAATTTGGACACAATGCATTCTGACGACCACAAAATCATTATCAGAGCAGACAAAAGACCCTCTGGAAGCCATGAAAGATAATTCAATGCTCCCACTATCAATGAAGTCGCAGTGGTGATTGTTGGCGAAAATGTGGCATCACACGATATTGTTCTTAAGCGTCGCGATGTTGGAGAATTGCAGCGCGTGTACGAGACTCATCGGTCATATGATGCACTTCAATACCCGTTGATGTTCTGTCGAGGAGAGGATGGCTATCACTTAAATATTAAGATGGTCAACCCAATGACGGGTTTGTATACAGGTCATCATTTCTTTTTCATACTATAACTAAGTTTGAATTTATATTTCAGGAGAAGAAACGAATAAAAATGTCAGCTCAATGAATTTTTATGCATATCGATTGATGATTCGACAAGATGTTGACAATCATCTATTGAGATATCGCCGGTTCTTTCAACGGTACTGCGTCGACATATACGTCAAGGTCGAAACGGAGCGTCTCAATTTCATTCGCTTCAATCAGTCAAAGTTACGATCAGACGAGTACATCCACTTGCGTGATGCCATCGCTACTAAGGAGACGCGGCCAACATTGGTCGTTTGACTATTCTCCCGTCTACTTATATTGGAAGCCCGCGCCACATGCATGAATATGCTCAAGATGCGATGGCGTACGTGCGGAATTACGGACGACCTGATTTGTTCATCACGTTTACTTGCAATCCGAAATGGCCCGAAATTACAAATCAGTTGCTGACAGGACAAACACCAAGTGATCGACATGACATCACTGCACGAGTATTCAAACAAAAAAATCATAGTACTCATGAATTACATCGTTAAGCCGAAGGTCTTTGACGCAATCCGTTGTTGGATGTACTCGGTTGAATGGCAGAAGCGTGGTTTACCACATGCGCACATTCTGCTTTGGATGTTTGACAAGGTCCGACCAGATCATATTGATTCGATCATTTCTGCCGAAATACCAGATCCAGAAACAGATCCTGAGCTGCATTCTGTTGTGACCACGAACATGATACATGGCCCTTGCGGAACTCAGAATCCTGGGTCACCGTGCATGCAAAACGGAAACTGCAGTAAGCGTTTTCCGCGTCCGTTTGTGGCTGACACAATCAGTGGAATCGACGGATATCCATTGTATCGGCGTCGTTCTCCAGATGACAACGGCAGATCAATCATAATGAAAGTAAAGGGAAAAGATATGGTGGATAATCGCTGGATCGTTCCATATTGTCCACTTTTGTCGAAAACGTTCTCAAATCACTGCAATGTTGAGTATTGCAACTCCATAAAATCTATCAAATATGTGAACAAAGGGAGTGACATGGCTGTGTTTGGCATTGCTGATCCAAATGCAAACGATGAGGTGATGAAATTTCAACTTGGACGTTACATGAGTTGTAATGAGGCAATTTGGCGGCTGTTTTCATTTGCAATTCATGAACGTCACCCGACTGTCGTACATTTGGCAGTTCACTTAGAGAACGGCCAGCGTGTATACTTTACGGAAGCGAACGCAGCGCAAAGAGCAGAACGACCACCAGCGACGACAATGACAAATTTTTTTTCGTAATATATTCGGAAATGCCACGCAATATACATGGAATGCTGCATCAAAGAAGTTTCAACGCAGGAAGAAAGGTGATGCTGTTGCTGGCTTCGCAGATGTCTATTCGACTGATTCCCTCAGACGAATATACACAGTTCATCCACGCCAAGACGAATGCTTCTATCTTCGCTTACTTTTGGTGAACGTTAGGGGCCCGACATCCTTCAATTCCCTGCGTACCGTCGATGGTGTACTGTGCACAACTTTTCGGGAAGCTTGCCAATGCTTGAATTTGCTCGAAACGAGTCACATTGGGACTTAACACTCGTCGATGCAACCGTTTCTGCGCCAGCAAATCAAATTCATACGTTGTTTTCGATCATCATAGCCACATGTCATCCATCGAACCCGAATACATTGTGGGAGAAATACAAGGACGAGATGGTTGATGACATTTTGCACAGAGTTCGAACGACAAATTTTAATTTTGATATTGAAAGTAACGACGAGATGTGGAACGAAACATTAGTTCTGATCGAAGACATGTGCGTGCTCATGTGTGGGAGTCTGTTGTCAACTTTGGGAATGCCAGCGCCAAATCGTTCGAGGCACGCTACATTCAATCTTGAATTACAGCGGGAGAAAAACTATGATCTAGATGAGCAGGCTGAAAGAGTCCGAAAAAATGTGCCACTGTTGTATTCCGAGCAGAAGAATGTATACAATTCGCTGATGAAGGTTGTTGATGATGGAACGGGAGGCATTTACTTTCTCGATGCTCCTGGAGGGACAGGCAAAACGTTCGTCATTTCGTTGATTCTGGCAACAATTCGGTCAAGATCACAAATTGCGTTGGCTGTCGCATCCTCTGGCATTGCTGCCACATTGTTGGAAGGCGGTCGAACTGCACATTCAGCTTTGAAGCTGCCAATGATTCTTCTCTTGGTTGACAAGCCTACATGCACAACGACCAAGAATTCAGCGACAGCGAAATTGATGCGAGAATGCAAAATCATCATTTGGGATGAATGGCACGATGGCACATAAACTAGCTTTGGAGGCAGTTGACCGAACGATCAAAGATTTACGAGGTAATTCGAGACGTTTTTTTGGGGCAATGATAATGCTCTCCGGAGATTATCGTCAAACACTTCCCGTCATTCCGAAATCTACTGCTGCCGATGAAATTAATGCATGCCTGAAATCGTCGTTTTTGTGGCGGCATGTCAAGAAGTTGAAATTGACCACGAACATGAGAGTTGCGTTGCAAAACGACCCATCGGCTGCTGAATTCTCGAGACAACTGCTATCGCTTGGTAATGGACACATTCCGATTGATGTTTTGACTGGATTAATATCGTTTCCGGCAAATTTTTGTGAGTTCACATCGTCGAAGGAAGAACTCATTACAAAAGTGTTCCCAAACATTGATGTCAATTATAACAATCATGATTGGATGAGTGAAAGGGCAATACTAGCAGAGAGGAATAAGGACGTCGATAGCTTGAATTTTACAATTCAGAGTTAACGAAGAGAAAACGAAGCGGTCAACTATCCGACAGAATTTTTGAACTCGCTTGATGTGCCCGGAACTCCACCGCATAATTTAGTTTTAAATGTAAAAAAAAGTGGGATCGATCATAATTATGTTGCGGAATCTAAATCCTCCTAAATTGTGTAATGGTACACGATTGTCCGTCAAGAAACTGATGAACAATGTAATACAATCAACGATCATCAAGGGCAATTTTAAAGGGGAGGAAGTCCTTATCCCACGAATTCCGATCATTCCAAGAGATCTTCCATTTCAGTTTAAGCGGATTCAGTTTCCCGTTAGATTGGCTTTTGCGATGACAATCAATTTATTAATCGCAAGGCCAATCGTTGGAAGTCTGTGGGATCAATTTGGAATTTCCATGTTTTTCGCACGTCCAGCTGTACGTTGCCAGTTCGCGTGTTGGAAAACCGTCTTCGTTGTTTATTTTTGCACCAGAAAACAAAACGAAAAACATTGTTTATCAAAATGCATTATATTGATTTCTGTAACAATTCATTACAATGGAATACTTGAATTTTATTATCAATATATACTTTATTTGAAGGCGTATTAGAATTTTTATTCAGGGCAACGGAAAAGTTAAGGGGGCTGGAGCGTGATTCATTTTCGGTCAAAAACATAGCTCACGACTTCAATCACTACGCCCAATATAATGTTTTGATTTTAATTTTGAAAGCAGATTTGAATTCGTCACTAAATTATCTATGCTTTGACAATTTTATTTTTCTGGTTTTTTATTTTTTTTTACTTAGGAATTTACTAACAAAAAGAGTAAAAATTGATCATTTTTATAATTCAAATTTAAATCCATTGATATTGAATAAGAAAAATGTACGACAGTCAAAGCATAGTAAATTTAGAGGAGAATTCAAATCTACTTTCTAAATTTAAATCGGAACATTCTACTAAGCGTAGTGATTGAAGTTATTGGCCGTATTTTTTGAAAAAAAAAATGTTATTAATTTTATAAGCCAATATGTGGTTGACATGTGCATGCGCGTAGGTAAAATCACAGCCGTACATATCCGGTCACTATGATGCCCCTATACAACGTAATCGCTATTATTCGGGGAATCACACACAATTATTTAATGATTATTATTTATTAGTACCTATTGTAATGTTATGTACAGAATATATTATATTATAAAGGTATAGGTAATAGGTTTTATTTCCGTGGTATTATAATATTCATTATGATTATTCAATAAAATTATATTTTACATTATACAGGTATACCTGTTTAAAAATGTTTGTCTAGACACTCGATGTATTGATATTTTTTATTTTATAATATATGGTATAACTTTCAAAATATTTTGATCTTTTTGAGCAATTTATCATACTGAAAGTTTACAAATTATTTCGCAGTTAAAAATGTTCAATTTTTGTAGCTAAGGCAAAAATATATTTAAAAATTTAAAATAAGATTCTACTTAAGTAATTCATACTGTAACCAACAAATTTAAAAAATATATAAAAACAGTTTTTTTTACAATTATTTGAAGTTCAAAGTTGGTCGAAATTAAGTATACCTATGTAGTGCAGTAATTTAAAAAAACCATTTACTATGAAGTATTATATCTATTATTTATTACCATTTAATTAAGTACAATAATATTATTATTATGTTATCGTAATTAGGTAATAGTTATTGTAAATTCGGTGAATTGCAGCATGTCTAATGACAATGGCTATTATGTTAAACCAGTTTTTGAACGGATAGTGAGTTCGGAGAGTACACAATTACGAATTACACACACTAATGTTCATTTACTTCCAACACATTGTCATGGACCCATATGCACTGCAATATAAATTGCCTAGTTTTTACTCCTTAGAATGGACTACGCTCCAGCCCCCTTAAGATTAATTTTGAAACCATACACTGAATATTAAATAACGAATTGAACAAAGCTTGAGTCACATATAGTTTGTACACTTAATGGGCAACGAAGTGCACGGGTTCAGCTAGTTATTATATATAAATTAATGCATTACACAACTTAGTACCATTATTTATATTACCCTTCAGTTAGTTCTTTTTAGTTAATAATAATATTTTTTCCAGTTATTACTTATTATATATTAGTAATGATATTAGTGTACCGACAAAATAAGTCAAAAAATATAATTTTATCATAACACTTATTAGGTAGGTATAATAGATATAAGTATTAAAAAAATGATATTTATATTTTCATTGTCTTGATGACAATATGTCAATATGTCAGCGCTTGATTATATTTTTTGACTTATTTTGTCGGTACACTAATATCATGACTAACATATAATAAGTAATAACTGGAAAAAATATTATTATTTTTTAACTCTATAGTGTGCAATTATTAAATCTTTACGTAAGGGTTCCTAAACTTTAAAATTCAATAATTTATAATTGGCGGAAAAAGGAATGACGTTTTTTCTGATTTGGCGGAAAAAGGTATTGGCGGAAAACAAAAAGGTAATTTTTGGCGGAAACCGGTGACACCCCACTCAACAGGAATTGGACAGGTTCGCCGAGCAAAACCTGTGAGTGCTGTAGTGTAGGTGGGTGTGTAGGTGTGTATACGTGTGTGTGTGTGTGTGTGTGCTTAAAACTAAAAAGAACTAACTGAAGGGTAATATAAATAATGGTACTAAGTTGTGTAATGCATTAATTTATATATAATAACTAGCTGAACCCGTGCACTTCGTTGCCCATTAAGTGTACAAACTATATGTGACTCAAGCTTTGTTCAATTCGTTATTTAATATTCGGTGTATGGTTTCAAAATTAATCTTAACTTTTCCGTTGCCCTGAATAAAAATTCTGTTACGCCTTCAAATAAAGTATATATTGATAATAAAATTCAACTATTCCATTGTAATGAATTGTTACAGAAATCAATATAATGCATTTTGATAAACAATGTTTTTCGTTTTGTTTTCTGGTGCATAAATAAACAACGAAGACGGTTTTCCAACACGCGAACTGGCAACGTACAGCTGGACGTGCGAAAAACATGGAAATTCCAAATTGATCCCACAGACTTCCAACGATTGGCCTTGCGATTAATAAATTGATTGTCATCGCAAAAGCCAATCTAACGGGAAACTGAATCCGCTACTCATTTAGCACAACAGCTTGGGTTTTGAAATATATTGAGTTCTTTAAAAGGGTCATTAGGCATCTAACAGCAGCAGATCTCTAAAAAGCAGAACAATGGTTGGTAAGATATGCTCAAAAGGATGAATTTGTAGCTAACTATGAGTAAGGAACTTAAAAACAACAGTAAGATACGAAGACTATCCCCCTTTATCATTACAGATAATCTAATTATAGTCAGAGGAATACTACGTCATTCAACACTTTCGAATGAACAAAAACATCCTATAGTTTTACCGTTTGGTCATAAGGTCACGCAGCTAATTTTTACATACTTTCATGAAATACTGTTACATGGAGGGCCCCAGTTGTTGTTATCAGAAGTAAGACTTCGGTTTTGGCCTCTAAAGGGTAGACTAACAGCTCGTTCCACGACATCACGTTGTGTTACATGTGTTCGAGCAAAGTCTAAATTTGAAAACCCGATCATGGCTACCTTGCCAAGTACCAGAGTACGGCCTGCAAGACCATTTGTGTCAACAGGGGTTGATTTTGTGGGACCCGGGACCCTTGATGTTCGAAGTGTCACAAGCATAAAAACATGGATTGCAGTTTTTGTGTGTCTGGCAACTAGAGCAATACATTTGGAGTAAGTGGTTGGTCTGAAGAGCAATGCCTTTTTTGCCACGCTGCGACGGTTTATGGCACGAAGAGGTAAATGTTCAAAAATATAAAGTGACAATGCAACTAATTTTGTGGGCGTTCAACGAGAATTAGCAATCTATCTGCGAGATGTCGATGTAAATGTAGCCAATTAATGAATAGATTGGCACTTTAGCCCTCCAGCAGCACCCATTTTGGCGGAATTTGGGAATGTGCCGTGAAAAGCACCATATGACTAGAGTAGTTAAAGATGCTAGTCTCAAGTTAGAAGAGATAGGTACTTTACTTTGTCAAATTGAGGCATGTTTGAACTCTCGTCCATGGACACCGTTAAGTTCTCATCCACTAGACTTAGAGCCTATAATACTAGAGCATTTTTTAATTGGTGGACCATTGCTCCTAGTTTCAGAAGCTGACATATCAAATGAAAATATGAGCACATTAAGGAAATGGAGATATGTACAGGCTTTGATACAGACGTTCTGGAAACGCTGGTCAAGGGAATATTTAAGGCCGTTGGTTAGCTCAAACCGAACAAATGAAAATTGGAGGTATTGTTATCATCAAAGAAAAATGTGCACCACCAGGAAAATGGAAAATATTAAAAAATACTGAAAACTCATCCGGGATGTGATGTAGTTACATTGAAGACATCGAATGGCAATGAACTGAAACGACCAGTTGTCAAATTATGTAGCTTGTCTAGCTGTTACTGTTTACCAGTAGACTGTAGAGGGATAAAGTCCCGAATTTTTAAAATCATAAGTTTCAAAGGGGGAGAATGTTTGCGCCAACGCCGATACTTTTCTCCGCGTGTTTATCTCAAATTAAAGGTAGACCGTACTCACGGGCTTCGCAGGACGATACACACACCCACACCCACACACACTTACAAACACGTACATTTTATCATAGGTAATTATTATTGTTGAAATTGTGAATTATATTATATAATATGTTAATTTTATGTTCATGTTACGGGTTTAGTCTACAGGTATTGAGTTATTTTTCGTTAGTACAGTATTGTATCTTTTTCTCGCAGCACTGCAAATTTGTATTTTTATTAAATGTGTCTGCAATAAATTTGCAGCATTGTTATTATTATTATTGTAAACGCAAACATCAATTTTTAGTGTTAAATTCACACCCACAAATTATATATAATTACATTATTATATTTATTTTATATTTCGCAGGCACAAATTGCCGTTTTTATTACTATTGTATTTATTAATTATTGTGTATTTTGCAGGCAAGAATTGCCGTTTTATTATAATTGTAGACCTTATGGTATTTGCGTGTGTGTGTGTGTGTGTGTGTGTGTGTGTGTGTGTGTGTGTGTGTGTGAGAATCACATTATTGAATATTATTATTTAGACGCAGGTACAAGCTGGCCAGTGCACCGTCGGACTGTGAGTCTTTAAATTATTATTTTGTACTGGTTATTATTATGAATATTATTTATATAAATATGTAATGTATTGGTTATCCACATAACACTATATATTTTGTATTATCCATTACTTTCACTTGTAAGGCCTGAAAGACCGGATATAATAAATGTGCATTATTTAAATTATAGACCAATACCTTATCATAAAAAATCCGTGTTACTATTATTGTATATAATATATTTAAGTATCCACCGTACACACTTATAACACACGTAGTTCATCAGTATTTCCTCGGCAATCCCTTCCACTACTGATCGAGCTATTTACACCACATTCACACGCACACGCACACACACACACAAATTTCGGTCGGCCTATTAATATAGCATTATTATAGGTATACTGTAGAAACTATAAGCGCACGAGTATTAGATAACCGGGATCGCGTTCTATATTATTATTCGCTCCCGGCTCCTACAACACTTATATTAATCTGTTTTATAAACTACAATAATTTTGACATTATTTTATTTGATACTTTAATGTTTTTATATAGGTATTTAGTATAATATACCTACCATATTATATAGGTATATAAATTATATAAATATTATAGTGATGAGAACAACAGCATATATGTAACTATATCTTGATATATCTTGCCTGATCTTTCAGTCATAAGTAATCAATCCAATCAAAATCCCATTTCTTTACAAAAACACTCTGGTGTTACACCTCCTGTTGTTGACACTTACTGTGGTGTAGCTCCTCTACCTAACGAATTAATGATGTTACATCGATCCGTTATATTTTGAACTAAACAGTGTTCACTTCTAACGAGTTTAAAACCAATAAAATCGTTGGTAGTTACTTAATGTGTATCTCCATATACGTCCATAGTGAACGTAACGTCCTAAGTACCTAGTTGTAATTAATTAATAATCGTTATATTATTCTAAATTTAGATAATAACATTAAGTCTAAAATAAATACACATCAATACAATATATTTACCATTTATGACCTTGACATGCATCAGCATCTTCATTTTCAGTATACTGACTACTAAGTCTGTTAATGCTGTAATTTGTCAAATGCATGTATCTATCAGATATAGTGGTAAAAGCAGATGAATACTTAACTGAAATATTAAAAAAAAATAAATAATAGTATCAATGATATAACAAAAAATATTATACCTGAAGCAAACCGTACAAGCCCATTATCATAAAGATACAAACGAAGAGGATTGATTGAAGTGATGAGTATATAGAGTCTTAAATCAAATTTGGTGTCATTGATTAAATATGGATTATCTATGTACCTTTGTACAAGTAAAGGTATTTTCTTTGGTATTTGAGCCCATTTTGATATAACACGAATTCCAGATCATCTAGCAGATGCTGGCTATAAATAAAATGAAAATTCTAGATATTAGTTTAATCATTATTTTTAGGATTCATTTTCATAATAATACCGGTTTAATAATCCATTTGTCTTAATCAATTTTCTCCCCAACTTGTTGTAAAATTCTAGATTCTTGAGGTAATATATATGATGTGGGCATAAACCCAAAATGTTCTTTGCCGTATTTTAACATCTTTACGACCAATTTGAAAAGTACTCGGAAAATGGTTCAGTTTTTGCTGTTCCCAAAGTTCCTTGAAACTTAATGATTTCATATGTTTACCCCAAGTTCCCACCCAATCATTTGATTCTTAAAAATAATAGTAATAAACACAAACATTAATTATTATTATTGACATTTAGGTAGGATGATATAAAAGAAAAAATTACAGGTATACTCACGGGATCGAGGTAACATCATTAATTCGTTAGCTGGAGGAGCTACACTACAGAAAGCGTCAACAATAGGAGGCGTAACACCACAGTGATTTTGTAAGGAAATGGGATTGTCATTGGACTGATTACGTATGACCGAAGGATCAGTTGTATTTTGAACTAAACAGTGTTCACTTCTAACGAGTTTAAAACCACTATTTTGAATTGTTCGACGTACAACAATTGGAGTAATAGAACTTAGTTTCCACTTTAATAACTTTTGCAAAGACAATGGAAATGATTCACCTGTAATAATAATTATTATCAAAAAATTCTAGAATTTTCAACTAAGTATTTATGGTTGGTAGTTACCTTTAATATCATGTGATGAAAATCTTATATATGGTGGCATATAAGAAAATAAACTACGTCTTAGGGCTGAATGATATTCAAATTTATCTTTTTGTTTTTGAGCACCTGAACATTTTTTGTATTGAAAATTATCATTATTATACAGCTATACATACATTTATTTTTATTAAATTTGCATTTGAAACATAATACCAGAAAATAAATGAAAATAAATAAAAATTCATCTGTTCGTAGATTACAATACATTTGACTTATAATTAATTAATAATATAATTTTTGATTTTAAACAATGATTTTTTAATAAACTAATTAGAAATTAATTATCTTACTTAGTACTTACCAAATGAATGTGGAGATTTGGATAATGCATTTGAGTGGTTTAAATTGTTCAATTTAGGATCAGTATTCACAATTGGATCGGGATTTAATTTTAGCAGTTTTTCTGAACTACGGTCCGTTGCTTGTTGAAAGTCTGTACGATGAGTTTGTATACGGTCTGCTGAAAATTCATTATGCTCTTGCTGCTTATCAAGTGGTCGAAATTTTTTTATTTTACTCATATGTTACATTGCATACAGGGCAAAAATAATTTTCTGGCACAGTTCCTACGTTTGGCAGATAATTAACCAATAATATAAATTTTGATTTTGTATAAGAATTTTTTAATAAAATAATTAGATATTACTTATTCTATTTACCAAATGCATAAGGATATCTGCGGGATAGTACATTTAAGTAGTTTGAATCGTACAGAGTAAGATTAGTATCCAAAATTCGATAAGGATTTAATTTTAGCAGTTTTTCTTATAAGGGCAAAAACAATTTTCTGGTAATGTTCCATCGTGTTCAGAATTAATGGCCATTTTTTTTGTTAATATTGAGTATGATTTATTGTTTATTTTATATTAACTTGTATATTATAGCAAAATAACTGTTAGATTTGTCTGTAGAAATAAAAACATAATTTCATAAAATTAAACACAACAATAAGTATAATTACATTTATTAGATACCTCTAAACTTAATATGATTTTTATAAGAATTTAAATTAAATATTGTGTAGGTAGGTGACACTTTGTCATAATTACAACATCAGTTCAAATATTCTTTTAGTCTTAGTGAAAAATAGGAGGTACTAGGTAGGCCTACATAGTTTAATCAATGTATTATATCAGACAATTTTAAAACTATCTACTTAGATCTATTACTCTTTTAAAAAATTTAATTTAAATCTAATCATAAGTTCAAACATGTTCAAACTGATTAAAATGTAGTTGGATTAGACGTTTAGTTCAGACATAAATAGGTAGTTATTATATAGGTACTCTGTACAGAGAGAGAACATGCCATCGTCCAACGAAAATCAGTTCTTCTGAGCATACACACGCTACTATCTGCCATAGTATCATTCCATCGATGGAAAGATGTCACATGGGGATACG